AAAAAAAAAAAAAAAAAAAAAGACTATTTATAAGGACATTTTACTATGTCATTTACATAAAAAAAATTGAAAAGCATCAACACTTTTAAGAGTAGGGCAGTCACTAAAGGCCCAGGACTTCCAGTTTAAAATGGCTTTATAGTCCACACCAAGACTACAAAGCCACTAGACAAGAGTTCTGAAACGCTCATGGAGGCATCTTCACTGTGTGTCTTACAGGTGTGTAGATGAAGTGAGTTATAAAGCAACACACAGTAAGAACCCAGTCATAAATAAAGCATATGTATGTTAGAAGAGAGGTGGCCTTATTAACACTGCATTTTCAAAATCCCTTAGAACAGGAAATGTGCTCAATCTTAATTCTAAATCTCCAATGAGACATATGCTCGCTTTTTGAGCTGCACTCAGTCTATCTGGTGCCAACCTTAAGGCTTACCATGGCTCTGGGGTTTTTCTGGGCTTCCAGACTCTACACTGAAAGGTAATGCCCCTAAGCTTCGACTGTGATTCCTGCTCTTCGACGCTACAGCTTTCTTGACTGAATTCAGGATTGCGATGGTACTCAGGGACATGGACCTATGGAGACAAGATCCCAGACACTGACTCCGAGTGCAGACCACCATGGAGGCATCAGTTCCCACCCACTTAAAGGAAGTGGATAGACTGTTCACCACTCTCCTTCCAGCCTCTCAGGGAAGCATGTGGTATGATGAGACAGTTCAGGTTGAGCCTGGTGGGGGGGGGGATGAAGAGGTAGCTATGAAAATACCATGAGAGACGCAGGCGGCTGCTATCTCAGAGGGCTCCCTACCTGGCATTGGGCATCATCTTCAGAGGCCCATTTTCTGATATGGGAGACAAAGTTGGTGTGAAGCTGGACCCAGGTGCTGAAGTCCGGCTGTTGGCTGAAGACACATTAACATTTTCCTGGTCAGCAGCAGCAGGTACAGCTTGTAAGTCAGGAGCACCCTATGCCAGGAGTGAACAAGAATATCATCATGGGCTACGAGAAGTGCTTAGGAAATCCACTTTCACCCTGGACAAGGGCAACTACAACCTTCCCTTTAAAACGGAACTATAGGCAAACAGCCTCACACCGATGCTGCAGCAGGTCTGTCTTTCTCTTTTAATACAGCGTATCTGCTTGGACTCCTTAGGCAGAAGAACGTGAGCAACAGCTACACCCAGAAATGCCCTCACAGACAGTAAGCTCTGCAGTGCAGAGTCAATGGAAAGACGGAGGTGGAGGCGGCTCCAGAAATCAGAGGTCATGTGTGCTCTGCCAGGGGACCTACTGGCAGCTCACACATTCTAATGATTACCATAGTTTTCCAGGCAAGGTCCCCTGACAGGGCCTGGACAAAGAACCCTTGAGCTACCGGTGTGTCTGTCACAGGTAACACGTTGGCCAGCAAGGAACAAGTCCAAAGCTCAACTCCAATCTCAGATTACAGCCAGAATTTGGAGGAATGCAAGGAGAAATGATGGCAAACAGCAGACTGGAGAGCTGGCGAGCCCAAGGTGGCCTCTCCTACCTGCACGGCCTGCGCTCTGTCACCGCCTTCAGCCACTCTGCTCACATCAGCATGCTCAGTCAGAGCTTGCTCCTGGGCCAACTGTTCATTGTACTTCTTCATGTCATACTCAAGTTCAGAGGCCAGTTGTTTGTCAACCGCGAAGAAATCTTTGATTTCATCTCGGTAGTCCTGCATCACCTCCTGAAACAGACCCAGAGCATCCTTTAGGACCTTCTTGATAGAACAGTGAGGTCTTCTCCGGTGTGGTGCAGGGCAGGTGAGACCGGAGGATCCTGAGTTCCAGGCCAGCTCACGCTACACAGCAAACCTTATCTCCACAGCAACAAGAAACTATCAGCACCCCCATTACACCAACTGATAGGTTCCTAAGCACAAGGGCACTTTCTGAGGAAACACTGACCGCCTAAGCAGGTGACCATGATGTGGGTCATTAGCTAACAGCTGCTAAATTAAAGAAGAAAATGGGCCACTTCTTTTTTAATGTATTTTTGGTCAAAGGCATGAGGCCTTGCTTAGGTCTGTTCTGCAGGCAAACACATTCCAGCTTTCCTAGGGCAGCTTCTCATGGTCCCCTGCTTTACAGACAGCCCAGGAACAGGAGTTGCTTCAAGGTAACACCCCATCCCTGTGTGTGTGATCCTGCCAAAGGCCCATGACTTCCTGCCCATAAAAACAAACACCCAACATTAAGTGTGCCCACTAATTTCCATCTCTTCCTTACAAGATGGACTAGGACAGTGTCCTGTCCTCAGCTTTGGTTAAGAAGATTTTTAGATTGAACTTATTCCCAAGGAAGGGTATAGGGGTTCAGAACAGGAACGTGTGCTTTAAAAACTCAGCTGCCTGAGAACCAGGAGCAACCTTAGTGGTGCCTCTGGCCAAATGCTTCAGTACCTCAAAGTCCTTGGCAGGCAGTCACAGGCCAGCCTGGCGGTACATTTCTACACAGACTACGTTTCCTAGAATTCTGAGTTCTTCTCATTCACTGTCTAGACTAAGCAATGAGCCTGGGGGAGTGGAGCTGGGGAGGAAAAGCCCACAGGGCAAGCTCCTCATTTACCCTGAGGTAGTTCATGAGTTCCCGCAAAGCAGGGATCTTGTTTTTCTCCAGCACAGTCTTAAGGGATGTGATGATTGGAATAATATTCTCTATGAAATTCTTCTTTTGAACCTGAAGGAACACAACAAAAGCATGCTTTAGACGCACACACATCTGAAAAAAAACTTTTCCTTGATCTACTTCTTTAAGTACACCAAATCTAGCAGACTGCAGAGGCCTGTCTACCATTTGACCAGGATACTGGGAATGAAGAGGGTCTATGTCCAGCTTGTTCTCAGACTGTAAGCGGCGCCACAGCATATGCAGGCTTGTACAGCAGAATGTATATTAACACTACTTACATGTTCTAAGTGAGAACAAGGAGTAAGAAATATGATGAGGAACTTGACAAAAAGTTCCAATCTCCACACAACCCTGATAGAACCTTGGCCCTGGCTCTAACCTACACCCTTCCTTTTGAAAGGTAATCTGTTCATGCTGACTACCAAAGAGACACATTATAATCTTGTGTGTAAAAAGGCAATGATCTCTGGTTGGGTAAGCATTAAGATGGCCAGTTCTGTTTGTTTGTTTTGTATGTACCTTTCTATATACATATGTAACTCTGTGATGTACTAGCGTGGTGATCTGGGCCAGAGTATCTGCACTTAGGAGCCTGAGGATGGAAGCTCAAGAGTTCGAGACCAACCTGAGCCACACAGTAAGATGATTTTCAAATACAAACAAACAAACAACAGTATGTGATTTAAATAATCAGTAACCGAGATCCTGTGCAGTAAATCTTAGAATTAAAGATAATTTATTATATTAGCCCACACATGTAAGATTTCTCTTTCTGACGCTAACATGTAATCTATCTTTCATTTACAGCTAACAGTGTTTCTTGCATGTACACCACTCATTCCTGAAGCTTTGGGAGAGAGCACTTAGGCAGAAGAACCAGTGCCAAAGGCATGGAACAGAACACATCTGAGGTTCTGAGAGAGGGAAGGAGAAGGTGAGGGCAGGCAGTTTTCCATGTCTTTGAGAATCCAGATTTTATCCAGGTGACAGGATACCACCAAGGTAGCTTAAAATTATATAATATCTGATACATTTACAGATTTTTAAAAAGTAACTATTTATTTTGTGTATGTATGTGTGCCTGAGTTCATGTGTGTGTACCACATGCATACAGGAGCCCACAGAAATCAGAAGTGCATCATATTCCCTGGAGCCCAAGTTAAGGCCATTGTGAGTTACCACGTAGGTGCAGGGAACTGAACAGCAAGTACTCTTAACTGATGAGCCTCTTTCCAGCCCACATTGATCAATTTTAAGAGAAAAGTTCCACGAGCATTCACAAAGTACTAAGTGTTCAATAGCACAGATCATTTACAACCCACCCCCCAGAAGTTCCTTGCTGTCTTAACAGCCATTTTCAATATATTTTGCAGAGAATAATTGTGCTTAAGGAAGACTGTCTCGACAGCAGGGTAGTACATGTCCTGCAGGAGAGGAACCAGACACAGGAAGGGTGCTGATAGGAAATGGCACAGGCTTAAAGAAACAACCATTGGAAAGGCAAAAGAGACAGGATCTTCTGCAAAACTGGATGTAATCAAAATCCTTTGGGATCAAAAGACTCCAGGGATCAGGTGGGAAATATGAACCAGACATTCAAGCTAGGTACAAGACCATGGAGCCTGCTGAGGGCCGTGGTAACCAGGCCTTCCCAGGCACTGCATTTCTAATTTGACATCTCGGTTAACCCAAACACATCCTTGGCATGCCAGACTCCTGTTCTGCCTTTGGCTGCGGCACAAAGTCTCTAAAAAGGAACCTTTGGTATATAATGGTTCCATTCCCTATGAAAGACTGGGAGAAGAAACCAAGCAAGGAGAAATGATTAATTCAGTTCTGCCCGTGAGTGTGAGACACCATGGTACACCAGGCAGGCAAGTAGACACACATTCAGAGTCACGGAAGGAGCCGTGCGTAGCTAAGGCAGAGACTTCAGAATCCCAACCACCCATAAAGCCACTGGTAAGAACGGCTCCAGGACTCCGGTTCACGACCCCCACTGGAGCAGCAGAGTGTGCACACACCTGAGAGATGATCTTCATCTGGGCTTCCTGCATGACCACATTTGCCAGAGCCATGTCATCTTCCTCCAGGAGGTCCTTGCACGCTTGAGCTCTCATTGCCAACAGCTTGATCTCCTTTGAGCTGAGGATGTCAAAGGTATCTGAGAGCAACTCGCTGGCCTCCATGTCCAGGGGCAAGATGCCGTCAGTGAAGCATGCTGAGAGAGCACAGGGGAGCGGGTTCTGAGAAAGCCTTGGGGAAAGGGAGTTCACAGAACTAGGACAAGTCTGGGCTGTGACGGGAGGTGGGGATGGGGTCCTAAGAGACATAACTGATGCTAAGAAGGACAAAAAGGACATGTCTTCCATACAGACCTGCCGTGCTATCAGCATTTTAAGGACACATTTACCCCAAACACACCAGACATACCCAAAATACTAAGGCAGATCTTGGAAGTGACATTGAACCGCTGCTCGTCTGTGAAGTGCTCAAGAAGGAACTTGTAGATTCTCATTCGCTTCTCCTTGTTTGTCTTCCCCTTTAGCAAAAATAGCCGCTTCCCTCTGTGGCGGAACAGGACAAGGTCACTGCACTGTGTGGGGACAGGTGACGAGGACTAAGTACAGCACCCTCACGGCTGTGTGACAGTGACAGTGACAAGGTTCCAGTGTCGTCCAGACATGACCCTTGGAGTCCATCATTGTGACTGAGCTTTCTTTTATCATCGTGCCAAGGAAGCTAATGACCGCCGCCGCAGACAGCAGGTGAGTGTACGATACAGCCAGCACCTCTGGAGCCTGACCACAGCTCGTCCTGAGACATGAGATGTGCTTACCCCAGCGGCTCACTCACCTCTCTGACTGGGAAAACTTGTTGTACTGCGCATGCTTCTCATAGCTGTTGAAGTGGAATATACACTCAATGAAGTGCTGGAAAAACATGGTAGGGTTCCTCTTCAGCAACAAGTGAGCCAGGCAAAACTCCCCAAGGCTGCCAAGGAGAGAGGCAAAAGGAGACCCACTTACTACTCACTGTCAGTCTACAGATACGCCAAGAACTCTGCCAGACAGCAAAGCACAGAATTCCAAATACATCCCAACAAATGGCCTCATTGGCTCAAGCAAGTGAAGAATGCTACATGCTTTGTCTGTCCTTGCTCAATATTTCATTTCAAAGCTAAGGGCCATGTGAATGCTTTCTCTACCAGGTTTTACTTACTGCTAAGATTTATTACTTTTAATTAAATGTGTGATTGTGTGTAGGGGTATGGCCACATGTTGCAGATGTCCAGCTTGTGGAGGCCAGCAAAGGGCTTTGAATTCCCTGGAGCTGGAGTTCCACGTTCTGAGGCACCCGATGAGGAACAGAACTGTGTCCTCTGCAAAAGCAGCGCTCTTACCTGCAGAACCATCTCTCCATTCTGCTTTTATTTCAAAACTCAAATCAAATGGTACTATCTAGTATCTACTTCTAATAGAAAAAAACAACAACTTTCCTAAAATTCCTTCAAGCAGAGGCCTGGGTCCTCAGGTCTAATGCAATGATAACGGTTACCCGAAAATGAACACGTGGTCTTTATACTCCAACTTCAAGTTGCTGGCCATAATAATGAACACAACCCCATTTGAATACTTGAAACTTTCCATAAGAGCAGTGGTAATAAGAGCTTCATGCTTTGGGCTAGGAAGACAAGTACTCTCCAGAGAATTAATGACTGTCACCGAGCTTTGCAACCACCAAGAAGTTCCGGGCACTCTCCTAGCACCCGTGGCTCCACACCTGGGAGCCTTTCAGCATACCTGCATACAATGCTGCACCTTTAATAAACACCACTTAGGGCCACCAAAACAACATACAAACGTCTACTGGTTTCCAAAGCCAAACTGTCACCTGCAGCCTACCTGACCATTTCTGTGTTATCCCAGCAGTGAGTGCGCAAACACCAAGACTTGCTACAGGGCCAACCCAGGTGAGGTGGGGCTCGCTAAGGTTTACTTTGTCAAGACGGAGGTTTAGTTTCACTGTACAGCTCAGTCATGATTCCCACCTCCCCAGGAACACCAGTCCGCCCCCTTCTGGAGACCAGAGAAAAGGATGAGTGTCACGTTTTGCACTTGGCTTTGGAAGGCATTAGGACTCTGCTGGAAACTGATCTCTTCTAGTTGTATTTCTCAGGCTGAGAAGCAAGCTAGCTTGAATCACGCATATCAATTAAAATTCAGAACAGGGAGCTCAGAAACCATGATGCTAAAAAGCTTAAGTTTTTAAAAATTCTGCAAAGGACAGTCAGGCACTGCCTAGGAAATAAGGTATCAGGATAATTTTTATTACTAAAAGAAATAGTTTTAAAAAATGGTGCCAAGCACAACATAACTGTTTCATACAATATATTTTGATCAGCTACTCCCCTCTCCCAACTCCTGCAGATCCTTCTTACTGCCCGACCAACCAAACATCAAACTTCCAAGTTTTTCTCCTGCCTGTCTAAGAAACGGTAAGATAATACAACAAAATTAACAAAAATTAAAAAAAAGAAAAGCCCACAAAACAGAACATGGAGTTTGTTTTGTGTTGGCCAACTACTCCCGAGCATGGGGCCTGCCCTGGAGTGCAGCTGATATACCCGGTGACACTCCACTGGGTGTCAACTGCCAAGAGATGGTTGGTTAGGGCTGGGACTTTGTGTCCACTTCCCCTTCTCGGTGCTGGGATGCTGTGGGACTCGAACCTATGCAGTTCTTGCGCACGCTGTCAAGTCTCTGTGAGTTCATGTGTGCATCAGTCCTGTTGTGTGTGGAAGACACTGTTTCCTTGAAGTCACCCACCACCTCTGGCTCTCACAATCTTTCTCCTTCCTCTTCCACATAGTGCCTGAGCCTTGAGGGGAGGGGGTCTGATAAAGACATCCCAATTAGGACTGTATTAGGACAGTATTCCCAAGTCTCTCACTCTCTGCACACCGTCCAGTTGTGGGTCTCTGTGTTAACCATCATCTACTGCAAGAAGAAACTTCTCTGATGAGGGCTGAGTGAGGCATGCTCTGTGGGTGTAGCACTGTGTCACACAGTCCTTTCTTTAGCAGAGTAACAGTATTAGCTTTTCCCCTAGGCCCACTAGCTAACTAGTCTCAGGTTCTGGGCCACTCTAGCAGTGTCAGGCATGGGTTCCCTTTCACGTAGTGGGCCTTGAATCCAGTTTTTAAAAAAGTGATTAGCTACTCCCAAACATTTGTGCCACTACCGCACCAGTCTATCTTGCAGGCGGGCCACCGTAGTTTGTAGGGTTCATAGCTGAATGATATTTGTAGCCCCGTGCAGTCTAGATGTCTCTTTCACACGCGGTCCTGCAGCCGCTTATAAAACAATCATTCAGAGCCTTAATAGTAATAGTAAATTATATGGCCTATGGCTCAGGCTTCTTACTAGTTAGCTCTTATAACTTAAATTAACCCATTTCTATTAATCTATGTTTTGCCACATGTTCTATGGCGTTACCTATGTGCTATTACATGCTGCTCCCTGGACGGTGGGATGGCGTCTTCTCTGCCTCTCCTTTCTCCTTTCACTATCACCCTTGGATTTTCCTGCTTGGCTCCATCCTGCCCTGCCATAGGCCAAATGGCTTTATTTATCAACCACTCAGAGCAACACATATTCACAGCATACAGAAAGATATTGATTACTTTTATCCTCTGGCAGCATGCAGAGTACCTTCTAGTACCATGAATGTGGGCCAGCAGAAGAAAAGCTTCTAATTCAGTACCAGCTGGATTTTCCCATGCTCAGTGATAATTCTAAGTGTCCTTAGCAATAGGGTCTTACCATTAGGATGTGTCGAGCAATCAATAGCCTTGGTAATAGTCTGTGATGTTTAAGGAAGCCCAAGGGATCCCTTTAGCCAATGACTCAACAAGATGTAACCCATTCCTGGAACTGGAGGTTTTACTTGGCATAAGGGATCTAGTTTGGGCACTGTCTCCCCCATAGTATGGGGGCTCCATTTCTTTTCATGTGAGTATATTCTGGGAAGCTTCTACAGCAGTAGGTTTCCATATGGCTTTCCAAAAGGCCTTCAGTGTTAGCTGTTCCTCCCCAATTCCTTCCTTTATCCTACTCTCTCGTCCCTCTTCCCAGTTAATTCTTCTATTCCAATTTGCAAGAGCCAGAAGTCATGGACAACTTCAAGGAAACAGTGTCTTCCAGATACAGGACTGACACACACACTCTCTCCACAGTACTAGATTCTATTCCCCCTTTTTGGGAAACCTCCTCATCCCTGCTCCATTGCCACCCTAACCTCTGTGGTTATTCAGGTGGTAGCAAACATACTGAAAACTTAAAAGCTAACCATATGTAGCTTTATGTAAGGGGTAACATGCTATGTTTGCCTTTTGGGGGCCGGGTTAACCTCACTTGGAATGATTGCTTCTAGCTCTTCCCACTTACCTGCCAAATTCATAATTTTATTTTTCTCAACAGCTGAATAATATTCCATTGTGTAAATGTACCACAGTTTCATTATTGATTCATCACTTGATGGACATCTAGGTGTTTCCAATTTCTGGCTATTAGAAACAGAGCAGCAATGAACATGCGTGAGTAAGTATCTCCGCAGTCTTTTGGGTATATGCCTAAGAAAGGGATTTCTGGATCTTGAAGCAGAACAATCCTCAGCTTCCCCAGAAACCTCCACGTTGACTTTCATAATGGCTAAACCAGTTTGCACCCCCATCGGCAAATGTAAGTATTCCCCGTTCCCCACATACATCCTCAACAGCATCAGCTGTCATTTGATCTTGGCCATTCTGACTGCGGGAAGATGAAATCGCAAAGCAATTTTAACTTGCATTTCTCTGATGGCTAAGAATTTTGAACAGTTCTTATATTTCTCTGCCATTTGTGTTTTATCTTTTGAGAACTGTCTTGATTTGTTCTGTACTCCATTTTAAAAATGAGATTTCTTTTTTGATGTTCAGTTTTTTTGTTCTTTGTATATTCTAGACACTAACTCTCTACCATATGCTGTCATTTTGCTTGAATGATATATCCTTTGCCATAAAGAAGCTTTTCAGTTTCATAGGGTCACATTTATTAACTATTAGTTTTAATGCCTATGTCCTGTTCAGAAAGTCCTTTCCTGTGTCAATGAGTTCAAGCTCATTACCCACTTTCTTGTCTATCAGATTCAGGGTATTTGGTCTTGTGTTGAGGTCTCTGATGCATTTGGAGTTGAGTTTTGTGCAGGGTTAGACAGACATGGATCTATCTTCATTCTTTTATATGCAGCCATGAAGTTTCAATGGCACCATATGTTGAATATATTGTCTTTTCTCCGGTATGTATTTTTAGCTTCTTTATCAAAATCAGATATGTAGAATTGTCTTCAGTTTGGTTCTACTGATTGATGTGTCTGTTTTTAAGCCAATCCCATGCTTTTATTTATTACTATTGCTCTGTAATACGATTTGAAATCTGGGATGGTGATACTAACAATTCTTTCATTATTGAACATTGAGCCTGTCCTCAGCTTTTTGTATTTCCCTATGACATGAAGATTGTTTTTTTGTTTTTTAAATTTTCTCAGAAGAATTGTGTTGAAGTTTTGATGGGGATTGCACTGAATTTGTAGACTGGCTTTAGTAGGATGCCATTTTCACATTAATATTCCTGATCCATGAGCATGGGAGATCTTTCCACCTCCTGATGTCTTCAATTTCTTTCTTCTGTGTCATAAAAGTTTTTATTATACAGGTCTTTACCTTGTTTGGTTGAGGCTACTGTACAAGGTACTCTTTTCTCAGTCTGCCATTGGTAAACAGGAAGGCTACTGATTTCTTTGTTAATTTCATTTTCTAATACTTTGCTGAAGTGTTTATCAGCTGTAGAAGTTTCCTAGTGCAGTCTCTGAGGATATTTATGTATAAAATCATATTTACAATAAGGATACATTGACTTCTTCCTTTCCTATTTGTATCCCTTGGTCTTCTTCAG